GAGCTCGAGGGAAATGCTCAGGGGAAATAAGTTAGGAGAAATAAGTTATTATTGAAAAATATTAATAATAATAAGTACAAAAGTCATTCATAAGTACAAAAAGGTAATAAGAAAGGATGGTCGAGAAGAAATGGTCATTGCATCAAAAGTTCATATTACACAAAGATTGAGCAGATCCCTTACAAAAAGAAGATACATAAGAACCTAGTGACCTATGGGTGAGAAGGTATGCTCCTCAAGGGTCTTTTCGAGCTCGGAAGAGAGGATGGATTTCTTCATCGCCACGTAAGAGCTGGCTCCCACGAGGGTGGTCGCGAGTTTGGGATTGCTCTTCCTGCCATCGGGGTTGGGCAGACCTTGGCATAGAGCTCTACCATCCGATTCACCCGTGAAGCCACCTGCATTGACCTAGGCCCTAGTTTGGTCAGTCACAATTATGAAATATTACTTGGCAGCCAAGAGGATCCAGTTGAGGAATTCCACAGAGTGCTTAAAGCACTTGAGGAGCTCTAGCCGATAGTGCACCAAGAATCTCTTGCGGGGGTTGCATTCAATTTAAACTTTTAGTCTTTTTAAGACTTTCATAATTCTGGTGTATTTAATTAGAACTTTTAGAGTCTTCTAAAAAAATTACTTGTATACAATTGAGACTTTTAAAGACTTTTTATAAGTCTCTAAAACTCGCAAAATATTCAATTATAACTTTCCGATAGTCTATATAAATCACCTGGTATTCAAAGTAGAAAACTTTATGAAACCTTTTAAATTACAAGACTTTTCGAGACTTTTGAAACAAAATTAGAAAGACAAAGTCCTAACATAAATCTCATCGAATTGGTGAGATTTGCTGGACTTAGATGATTCTCTTCACTCTTTTTTTTTCTTTATATTGTTAAGGTACACGACCTTATATCTCATATCACTTTCATACTTTGTCATTTCTCATTTATTTTGATAGCTTGCATATATTTTACTTTCATAATGAACATTTATTGTTATTTTTATTTTTTATTTTTTAGAGTTATTTTATGTCTAATATATACTTTTATTCTCCAATTTTGTTTGCTTGTGAATTTGATTTTTCAAAGTTTAAATGCTTGTTTAGTTTGCACATTTCAATAATTTTTTTGTTCCCTCTCTTTTTTATTTGTAAATTTATATTTTTGTTTGTTTATATAAAATTATTATGAGTATTGTTATTAAGGTTAAAAGATATGATTATTGTCTTTTGATAATATTTGTCTTGTAAAAATATAGCCTAATAATATTTTTTCAATATTGCAACATGATGCCAAAATAAAAATAAAATTAATCAATAATTAGAAAAATATATCTTGAATGGGTTTATTACAAGTGTCATTATAGCAGAGATGAGCAACACATGTTTGATCTTAAGCTCGTTTAAAAACCGAACGTAAACTCATCCTCGAGTTCGACTCGCAGAAGCTCGGATCGACTTGCTCTTTTAATATACCTGAAACCCTAAACAGGTTGTTTGTGAATAGCTTAGCTAGATTTGATTTACACTTTTTTAATGATTATTCTACAAAACCTTTTTTTTTTTTTTTTTT